ACTTATCCAGGTACCTTTGCATTCGTTCTTCTTTGACCTCGAATATTCCATTAACTTGGTTTACCATGAGGAGGGAGTCGCACTTAGCTTCGATCACCTCCACCCCAAGCTTTTGGCTAGTTCTAGACCTGCAACCATGGCCTCGTTGTTAGTCAATTTCACAATCCTAACAGATTGTCTAATTACATTGCATGTTGGTGGTTTCAATAAGATGCCAAGTCCGGACCCTTTTGCATTCCAGGCGTCGTCCGTAAAGAGGGTCCAGATTCTCGAAGACGTCCCAGAGTTTACCAACAACTCTCGTTCGACCTCGAGTATTAGGTCTGATGTAAAGTCGGCCACGAAATCTGCCAAAATTTGAGATTTAATGGCTATCCAGGGTCAATATTCTATATCGTACCCGCTGATTTCCACGTCCCATTTGGCCAATCGTCCCGAGAGTTCGGGTTTATGCATTATATTTCGCAATGGGTAAGTAGTCACAACACATATAGGATGGCACTAAAAATATGGTTTTAGTTTCCTAGAGGCGCTTAGCAAAGTGAGCGGCAATTTTTCTAGGTGAGGGTATCTAGTTTCAGCCTCACCTAGAGTCTTGCTAATATAGTAAATTGGAAATTACGTACCTTGCTCCTCCCGGACCAAGACTCCACTTACCGCTACCTCCGATACTGCCAAGTACAGGTATAGATGTTCGTCTGCCTTCGGTGTGCGAAGCAGTGGTGGGCTCGATAGATAATGCTTGAGTTCCTCCAAGGCTTGCTACATTCCAGGGTCCATGAGAAGTTATTCTTCTTCTTCAGTAGCGAGAAGAATCGGTGGCTCTTATCGTAGGACCTCAAGATGAATCGCCTTAAGGCGGTTATGCACCAGGCTAACCTTTGCACAGCCTTCACGTTGTCCACCACCGTTATATCTTCGATGGCTTTGATTTTGTCGGGGTTTATCTCGATTCTTCGGTTGGATACCATGAATCCGAGGAATTTACCTGATCCGACTCCAAACGCACATTTTTTTCATGTTCAGCTTCAAATTGTACTTCTTCAATATGCTGAAGGTTTCCTGCAAATGTTTTAAATGCTCCTCTACTCGCAGGGACTTAATCAACATATTGTCAATGTAAACTTCCATCGATTTTCCTATTTGTTCCTCGAACATCCAGTTTACTAGGCGTTGATAAGTGGCACCGGTATTTTTTAATCTCAATAGCATCACGTTATAGCAGTAAGTGTCGTACTTAGTGATGAAGGAGGTTTTTTCCTGATCATCCAGGTTCATCCGTATTTGGTTGTACCCGGAATAAGCATCGAAAAAACTGAGGATCTCGTGGCCGGTCGTGGCATCGATCATATGATCGATGTTAGGTAAAGGGAAAGAGTCCTTGGGATATGCCTTATTCAAATCTTTATAGTCTACACACATTCTTAATTTGTTCCCTTTTTTAGGGACTACCACTAAGTTTGCTAACCAATCCGGATATTTAACCTCCCGAATGGACCCTATTTTAAAGAGTTTAGATACCTCGTCCTTGATGAAAGCATGCTTGACCTCGAACTGGGATCTCCTCTTTTACTTGATTGTATGAAATTTTGGGTCCAGGCTTAGTTTGTGAGTGGTTATCTCCGGTGGGATACCTATCATATCAAGATAGGACCAAGCAAAACAATCTATGTTAGCTATAAGAAATTGAATGAGTTTTTTCCTAAGCTCGGAAGTTAACCCCGTGCCTAGGTATACCTTTCGATCAGGTAGATGCTCGATCAATATGGCCTATTCTAGCTCCTCGACCGTTGATTTAGTGGCGTCGAAATCATCGGGGACTATAAAAGATCTAGGAACCCCGTAATCATCATCCTTGTCAGTCCTCTGTTTATCCGGTTAGGTCGTGGCCGGTGTCGGTAAATGCTATTTAGCTTCTTGCTTTGCACCCGAACTTGGTTCCTTTGACGTTGCGAGTGTTGATATCGGAATCACCTCTTCGACTGCAAATATTTCCTTTGTGGCTGGTTGTTCTCCATAGATCATTTTAATCCCTTCTGCCTTTGGGAATTTTAACACCTGGTGAAGAGTCGAGGGCACTGCCCTCATGTTGTGGATACACGGCCTTCTGAACAGGGTGTTGTACCTCATGTCTCCTTCGATCACATAAAACATGTCCTCCTAGATGGTCCCGGCGGCATTCACTGGTAATGTTATCTCCCCCTTAGTGGTTTCACATGCCATGTTGAATCCATTCATAACTCACACTGCAGGCACGATTTGATCTTGTAGACCGAGCTGTTCTACGACTCTCGACCGGATGATGTTGGCCGAGCTACCTGGATCAATTAATACACACTTAACTCGAGATTTATTTATGAGTACAAATATTAATAGTGCATCGTTTTGGGGCTGCACAATTCTTTCTGCTTCCTCATCGTTGAAAGACAAAGTTCCTTCTGGTATGTAATCTCGAGTCCGCTTTTCCCTTGTGTTGAATACGTTGGTGCATTTTAACATCGGCCCTTGGGAAACATCGACCCCACCGATGATCATGTTAATGACATGTTGAGGTTCTTCTTGTCCGATCTGTTTATTAGAATCCTTATTTCTGAAATGATTCTTGGCTCAGTCGCTCAGGAATTCTCGAAGGTGCCCGTTTTTGAATAACCGGGCTACCTCCTCCCTCAATTGTCGGCAATCCTCTATTTTGTGGTCGTGAGTGCCATGATATTTGCACATCTGGTTAGGATCCCTTTGGGATGGATTGGTCTGTAGGGGCTGAGGCAATTTGGTGTCCTTGATGCGTCCGATAGCTGATACGATGGCAGCAGCATCGACATTAAAGTTATATTCTGATAAGCTTGGTGCTTCTTTAGGCCCGATAGGCCTATCGAAACCGTTCTTGCTCATGAGTCACTGGGTGCTCTGACCTCGATCATTTCTCCTTTCATTTCGCATAGAATTTTGTCCGAACCCACTACTTCTTCAATTTCCATTGTACGGCTGGTATCAATCCCTGTTTGACCTAGGTTCACGGTCGATGTCTCTCTTGACTCTGTCGATGGTTCTGACAGGATAAATGGACCCGGAAGGAGCCCCAAGTTGATCATCTTCGACTCTGATTTTTGATTGATATCGGTTATGCACATCAGCCTAAGTAACAACCGGATACTCTATCAGATTCTGCTTCAACTATTGTGAAGCCACCAAGCTTCGAACATTGAGTCCTTGGGTGAAAGCTTAAACGGCCCAATCATCAGCGACCGGTGGCAGGTCTATCCGTTCCATTTGAAACCGGGACACGAATTCTCTGTGCATTTCATTGTCCTTCTATTTTACTTTGAAAAGGTCCGACTTCCTGGTCTCGACCTTGATAGCCCCGGCGTGTGCTTTCACGAAAGAGTCTACAAGCATAGCAAATGAGTCGATAGAATTAGGAGGTAAGTTGTGATACCATATCATAGCTCCCTTTGACAGGGTCTCTCCAAATTTGTTCAGCAAGACAGATTCGATCTCATCATCCTCTAGGTCATTCCCTTTGATGGCGCATGTGTAGGAGGTAACATGCTCGTTGGGGTCGGTCGTTCTATTGTACTTAGGAATCTCGAGCATGCGGAACTTCTTAGGGATCGGCTTGGGAGCTGCGCCCCGGCATGTGCTTTCATGAAAGAGTCTACAAGCATAGCAAATGAGTCAATAGAATTAGGAGGTAAGTTGTGATACAATATCACAGCTCCCTTTGACAGGGTCTCTCCAAATTTCTTCAGCAAGAGAGATTCGATCACATCATCCTCCAGGTCATTCCCTTTGATGGCGCATGTGTAGAAGGTAACATGCTCGTTTGGGTCGGCGGTCGTTCCATTGTACTTAGGAATCTCGGGCATGCAGAACTTCTTAGGGATCGGCTTGTGAGCTGCGCTCGGAGGAAAAGGCTTTTGCACGAACTTCTTAGAGTCCAGGCCCTTTAATACCAGTCGCGCTCCTGGGATTTGATCAACCCTGGAATTTTAGGTTTCCACCTTCTTATCGTTTGCCTCGATTTTCTTCTCCCTCGACTCTATCAGTTTCGTTAGTTCTTCGAGCATCTTCATGATTACCGGGTTGGTCCCTGAATCCTTCTCATTCGACCTCTCTGAGACCGGTTCATCTCTGTGAACAACTTCCCGGTATGGTTCGGGCTCAATCCTACTTGGCGGGTGGCTCTGGTTCTGGAGTTGGGCTATCGCCGCCTGCTGAGCCTGTAATATTTCAAGATTACCCGCAAGTTGATTCAACGATATTTGCCTCCGTGTGTGCTTTGTGCAACCGATCGAACATCCCTACGGACGATGTCCTCAGGATCGATGGGCAAATTTGCGTTGATGGCCATATGTGAGCTAACGTCGATCGGGTCTGCGGTCAGGACTCCGCCGAGGTCGACTGGGGGCACCTCGTTTCCGAGTGCTACATTGTCGTTTTCGCCATGGTGGCCGGACTCATTGTCAACATGTAGGGGTGCTGATTGAGAGTTTGACGTTTTTAGTTTTAACCTGAAATCAGAGACACTTCAAAGAACAAGTGTAAAATAGTATGTGTTATGAAAATTTGTGTGAAATAACCACTATTATCCTTAGCCCAACGGTGGGCGCCAAACTGTTTAACCTCAAAATCGGATAATAATTAAATTTGTAAGTGGTTTTAAGGATACGTGGATTAACTAGACACAAAGCGACAAATTAGAATGCAATTGAAATGAACAGTGATAAAGTAAATTCAAACCACATGAATTGAACAGTTACAGCCTTGGGATGTTGACCACCCTTGAATTGGATGAACCTCGATTGATATCAAGACACAGATGAAATAAGAGCTTAAAGAGAAAAATAATGTATTGCTTTGGAATGCGTGTTACAATATCTTTTACAAGTAATTAGACCCCTTTTATATAGTAGAGGAATCCTACTTTAGGAGCAATTCCATAAAAGGTAAAAATCTCCTCATTTGCTGATTTGCCGGTTCCTTATTGATACGTGCCGAGATCCCCGCCGCAATATCCGATCGGTCACGGATATTTCGGCCTTCTGTTATTTCGGTCTTCTGTGGGTTACACTAACAATGTTACCTCGAGCTCGTTCGGGGTCAGGGGCAATTCCAGGATTACGGACTCAATGTTCTCGAAGACGGATATACTGATCTTGGGTTCTGGCCCGATGGGACCGGGGTCGATCTCCGGTTCCGCATGTTCCAGGCCCGATTTACCATGTCCGGTTTATACCGTATACAATTAGATAACTAGTTCATCAAGTTGGAGTTGACGAGTTATACAGCTTCTAAAATAATTGAACTACAGTACCATCCCCAACTTTCATGTCTTTCTCACAAGGATCCTTGTAAACTTCTGATATCCTAACAAACTTGTAATCATTTGCGATCGAGTCAAAGCCAAATCCAACACCACTAATGGAACGTCTGAAACCCTGTGGAATACCAAAAGGGCAAGGTGGGATCAGTCTGTAATTTCTAGTTGTTGGATTAAATAAGATAATGGTCAAGGAGTCTGTCAAGGCAATCAAACCATTGCAAGGGCCAATGAGTTGATGAAAAACACTGGCATTAGTGGTGGTCAGATACGGAATCTCTACATCTGGAGAAATAGGCTTAAGACTAAAAGCATCTTCACTGAAAAGAAAAGACATGACATTTTTATGAAGATTGGGTTCTTCTTGTTTGAAGGAACGCTTGAAGAGAATCAATTCATCCTTGGCGCTTGATGTACGATTGAGATGAAGATTAATGAAGGTGGATGACTTTATGATATTGCAAAAAGTTATACAGGAGCATTTGAATCGCAATAAAGATTTCACTGGAAGCATTAGAATTATATATATCACCAGATCTTCGGGCAATTCCTTCATGATTCCATCCACCATCTTTGGTTCTCTGCACTGTGAAGTGCCTTGCCTTTTCAAAGCTATTTCTATGCGATAAAAGCTTTAGCATCTCATTGCATGAGATTTCTGTCACCTTTTCTTTGGATCCAAAAACTTATTCCTTTGCACGTTGAGTTTCCTAACTAATTACACGCTAAATTTGCACTTTTGTCGTTTTGAGAGTTTTGTGGTGTATCATTTTTCTTTCCCATAGAGTTCTACGGACTCACGCCAGATCCCCTTGAATAATAAATCAAAAGAGTAGCACCTTTAATCCTTTATTGATTAAAGATAATTTTAAAAAAAAAACCTTTTAGGGTTTCATCATCACGAACTCAAACCTAAAAAATCTATAAAATCCATGTTTTCATGTTATTTTTGTACAAATTGGATTGGGTAATATATCAACCACATTTTTTTAAGTAAAACTAATCAATCAGTTATTATTATAGGAAAGCTACTTACCAATAAAAAAAATTATTATAGGAAAGCTTTTTTCAAATTTTGAAGAAATACATTTGGTTTGTTTAGACTAATGGGGAAAGGACAAAAAAGCTCCAGTAGAGCAAAATAGTGACACGTGATGCCCCCTATTCACTTATATATACCCGCATTGCCCCAAAAACGAAAAAGCAAGGAAGAAAAAACTGATATGTGGGAAAAGGCCTGTGGCACGTGGCTATAGCTTTCGACCCGACCTCCGTTGATGATGTATCATTTTTAGCTTTGCTCATCCTCCTTATCTCCACCTCATCAGATGATTTCAAAATGTATTTCTTATATTAAAAGCTAATTTTAGCTCAAAAAAGTTGGAACTTTTAGGAAAATAGTGAATGGGGAAGATGGGTTCTACTACTTGATTGGGTCTGTTTCGGTGAAGATGGAATAATGTGGTTTATGGGTGGCAGAGATATGGTGGTGGTAGATCTCGGAAAAATTTCCAACTAGTGCCAAGCATATAAGAGTTTACGGACTTGCACATATATTTTGTATTAAGAACAATTGTATGCTGGTCGTTATGGTTAAAAGGTTAATCCAAATTAAAAATGATCTTCTAAGGTTTTTTAAATTGTCTATAAGACACTTCTTAAAGTATGGGGTCTTATGTGTAGATATCCGGATATAATTTCTAATTTAATGATGGGCAAAATTTAGAATTATATAAACATGTGCAACTATAAATGGGTTATGGTCCCCAAATCAGACTTAGGGGTTTTTTTTTCCCCATATTCCGTCGTTGGAAAAGTGTGAGCCGCCATCTGTGCAATTCCTACGTCTTGGTTTGGAAGACGACTAACCGTAAAAATGATAAGTTTCACCAATTTCCATGGATTCAGATACGCTTCCTCGTGTAATTCTATTTTCTTGTTGATCTGACATGATAGTTTTTAGATTAAAAATGATAGTCTTCATATTCAAAGTAATTTGGTTCCAACAATTGGTATGGTTCCAACAATTGGTATCAAAGCATGTATCATGTTAAATTATTGAGATTATTTCTGTTTAGGCGTAATTAAAAGATAAGTTTCAACAGTGATCCCGTTGCAAAGCGGCAGAAATTTTTGCTAGCCGCAATAGTGGCGTGAATATAGTTTTACAGTGGAGGTTTAACCTCCTTTATTCATGTTCCTTGATTTTGTTTTCAAATAAAGTATAAAAAATATCAGTACTAATTTTTCGGACACTGCTTGTGCAGTATACAGAAAGATGTTATTGGGTATTTCAAGTTTACGTGCTTTCCTCTGCGGCTGCCAAATTTAGTTTATCCGAGAAATTTTTTGGTTCATTAGATTTTTCCACAAAAAAAAAAAAAAAAGTTAAGAAAGGTTTTCAGTTTGCCACTTTTGCGGCACTAAAGTTTATGATTTGATTAGGCCAGAAAGGAGCACCAATGTGCATTTTTGTTTAATTTATTTTTATTGTGCATTGAGATTTTCTTTTAACAATTTTAACTAAAGAAAAGGACAAAGGAATTCAAGGTAATATAAGAATCGCCTGACAGTGGAGTGTCATTAAGATAAAATGTACATTAAATGCTCTTTTAAAGACAATTTTGGACTTTTCTGTTTACCCTGAAAACGGATAGCAATTGAATTTATACATAGTTCTAAGAATACATGGTATAACTTGGTACAAATTAAAAATGATAAATAAATGAATATCAAAATTAGCTATAAAAGAAATGAATACAAACCAAATGGACTAGTTAGCCGAAACCTTCAAGTTTTTTCACTTTCAAATTGAATGAAGAGTAACTAATAGAGGAACAATATGGCTCAAAATCCCCAAACGGAAGAAAGATGGTTGTTGCTTTATATTCTATGAATCTTCACCAATCTGCCCCTCTGCAAATGATAACAACCCTTAATATAGTGAGGAAATCCTATTTTGGGGATCCAAAGATAGACTAATTAATTAGTCTTTCCATGATTTGCGCCGTGATTTCCGTCGAGATTCCCACTTAATTGCTGATATTCCGGTTCTCTGTCTTTGGCTCGATAAGCTTTGCTCGATCGAGGACGATCTTTGGCCTCGGTCGATCTCTACATTTAGCTCGATTTCAATCTTGACCGGTCTTCATTTAGCTCGATCCCGATCTTGACTGGTCTCGAACTTAGCTGGTATCGATCTCGATCGATCCCTGAATCACGAGTTAGGCAATATCTATACATATAATGATCCAATCTATTTTGAGATCGAACCTTGGTCTGCCGCCCCGGTCTCAATTAACCGTACAAAATCGGGCAAGTCCGATTTCGACCGTATACAGATAATCCCCTCGTTTTTTGGAGAATAATGACAAGAAACGATTTGAGCCTTCGATCATGACGTAATGGTCGTGACATAAGCAGCAGAAGTGACCGAAACGTCATGTCGGTACAGTTTTCTAGGTATTTAATGCGCGTCAGTCGACGGTCGGCCATTATAAGTTTTGAGCCGTCATTGTGAAACCGATAAATAGCCCATTTCTTCATTATTCCATACTTTTACTTTCAAATCTTTTTCATTCCAATCTCCATAGTCCTTTGCCTTCTTTAAAGCTTCCTATCTTCAGATCTTTGAGTTTCTTTGCTTGTTCTTCCTAAAACTTAAAAACATTTCAGTCTCCATTCTTCTTTGCCCACAAAAACTAAATGGCAAAAACATCTAAAACTGTTCCGCAGAAAGAGGCTACTTTCTCGTCTCGGCCGGCCGGCGAAAAACCAGTGGTGGAGCCACGCCCTGAAGATCTTACTCCCGGAGGGTGTGTCATTGATTCCGACTTTAAAACCCTCACCGATTCCTGGTCGATGCGAGCCGGTATCGAGATATATATATGCTCGATACCCAAAAGCCTCCTTGATCAGGTGAAAAAAGATTGTAACTGGGCAAACAAAGAGGTTGTGATACCGGCACCAGAAGAAGCGATCACCACCCACGTTAAAGGGTTCCTGAGTGTTTACACTTATCCTTTCATGTTGGGTCCTCTTGATCCGATCATTATAGACTTCTGCAAGAAATATCAGGTGACCCTCGGTCAAATTCACCCCTCTTTTTGGAGGATCGTGATACTGCTCCATTTTTTCGTGAGCAAAATCGATGGGCTTCCCTTCACCCTCAACCACCTCATGAGATTATATAGCCCTCGACTCTATCGAGGTGGGCTGATAAAGCTTCAATGCCGGGCCACCAAGGCGCTCATCTCGAGTATAGATGAAGACAGAGATCGGGGCTGGATGGGCCGGTTCATTCGGGTGAAGACCACGGACCTAATCTTGGCTGAGAGCATTCCATTTCCCGAGAAATGGAATATGAAACGTAAGTATGATTCTGTTTTTAATTTCTGTTCGTTGTTTTTACTTCTTCATCCTTTCTTATCAGTGTTTTTCTCGACATAGCCATTTCTTGGATGCCGGGGGAGGTTCCCCACCTCGAGAATTGGGTTAGCAGCCTGGTTTCAATGTCAACATATGCCAATCGCGCATGGCGTGATTTGTCAAAGGGTCGGTGGGAGGCTCGTACTCATGGTAAGCCTTCTTCCTGACTTACCGATTTGTCTATCGTTCAAACATTTTTGCAAACACAAGTTTACTTACTTTCTTCTTTCGTAGGTCTCGGAAAGGATGTGGCTATGAGACCCCCGCCCGGTGATGAAGAAGTTTCACCGCCTATCTCGAAACCGACGAAGGAGAATAAGAGGAAAAGGGCCTCGAACTCCGAGGGTTAAAAACCTAAGAAGAGAACAGCCGGTAAACCCAAGGGGAACATAATCCTACTGACTATGGAGTCAGTTCAAAGGCTAAGGGATTGGTGGCCCGTGCACGAGCTAGCACCGAGTTTCGGAGAACTTCGGAACCGGTGGGAGTTAATACTGCTCCATCTGGGCTCAATGAAGCCGAGGAGGAGACTTCGGCCCAAGTCCCCGAGCCAAGAGGAAACGAAGATGCTTTACCTCAGGGCAAAGAGACCGTTGAGGAGGCGGTGGATGCCGGTGCAGAAACCGGGCTCGAGGCTCCCCAAGACGGAGGCGGTGCCCCAAAAGACCCACTTGGGGCAATAGATATTGGGGATTCCCCCTTGTTTCCTTTATTTTTTGAGTCGATGACATGCGATGCTCAGGCCGTGGAGGCCTGTCACGGGGAAGGAGCCCATGGAGAGGAAGATCCTTTCCGTGGCTATTTTGTTGGGGTTGATGGTGTCACCGATATGAGTGACTTGAAGGTTTAGAAGAAGAGCTCGGGCGAGGTGGGAGCGCCTTGTCTTTTCAACGAAGCCCAACAGGCCCTAAACCGGATAAGTATATATTTTCTTTGCCGATGTCAATTTTCATACTTGTGCTTTTCTCCTCTTGTATAATTCCTTCCTTCTATTTTTGTAGGCTTCTGCGCTTTATCACGAAGCTTTCTTCTTATCCAGGGGGGAGCTGAACCGGTATGAAGCCGAAAACCGAGGGATTACTGAGGAGAGAGATGATTTCAAGCTTCTCAGTGAGTAGAGGGAAGTCGAAGCAAAAGGACTTCGAGCTAAGCTAGAAGCAGCTGAGAAAGAAAAAGCTGATCTGGCCAAGTAGGTAAAAAGAATCTTTGAAGTTAATATCACTGAAT